GAGTCACCTTTGCTGTAGAGAAGACAACAAAAACTAAGAGTCACAGAATATTCAACATTGCAGCAATGCCTCACCCCTCACCCCTGTCAGCAGGTTGTGAGAAGCCTGCAACACAAGTCGCTTCTAAATGCTCAAGTCTGTTTAAAATCTTGAACTTCACAACAATCTAGGTAGCAATGGAAACAGTATCCCTTATGACAGGGTTGCATTTGTGTTTAGTGATGCTACTGTAATTAGAACAAGAAGTCTAGGAACACACAGTCTTCAAGTTCTGCTTCTGAAACCAGCACATTCCACTTGTGGAATACAGCTGCTCAAATTAGCTGGCCATAAGGCAGTGAAGGACTTCTGTTTTGTTTTGTTTTTTAAACAATCAGGAGCACACTATTTTTGCAACAGAAGAGGTACTTACCACCTGCCCTGACGGCATGGCATTTATCCCTGAGCAAAAGCAACGCCACTACTCTTTAGTATTCACAGTGTGGAACACCTTACGTTAATCTGTCCAGCTCTGTGCTAACTACTTCAAGGATTACAAAAGAAATTTTCTCTTCATTTGTTTTTAAAAGAAGAGTACAATCCAAATTCCATTTCAATAACTGAGGATGTCAGAAATACATTTGCATTTAACTCTTGGTTGCTTTGGACCAACTTCATGAACTCCTGCTGCTTTCATAAAGATGAAAGAGCACTGAATGAGAACCATCATGGATGAACTCACAAGCCGCATGCAAACTCATCATCAAAAAAATAAGAACCTGCTAAATGAGAAGAGCTTGCTGAAAGGACTTTGAAACTGGAAACCTAAATGCCTGGTGCTGCATACTGTCGGCCACTTGCTGGCCCTTTTCAAGGCATATACGGAACTCCCCATCCCAGTCTAACCAGACACCACGATCTACCATCGAGAGAGATTTTGATGTAATTCCATGTTTGAAGACAACACACTAGCTCAAAGGCAAATTCTCTGGCTCGTCCACACATTACCTGATGTGAAGTAATTAAATAATACGGAGGGTCTTTATATGACCTAAAAGCTCACTTTCCAACGCAGCCTCCTCACTGCAACAACAGCCAACTAGTGCTCAATTTACACTGCAGGCTTTGGACCAGGTGTTTCTACTTACAAACATGTCCTGCAACAGGACAGATAGGAAAACAAGAATTGTGACCTCTCTCTGCGGAAAAAAAACTAAGAAAAATAAACTGAACGGTAAAAGCATCTTAGTTTAATAATAACAGCCAATTTCTTAATTAAAAGTTCTTACATATGTTGATATAAGGAAGGAGATATAAGTTCCCAGCTTCCCTGCGAATTTGGCGGGGGGAGGAGGAGGAGAGCTATTTTTAGGGGTTTGTTTTTTGTTTAAGGGGGTTTTCGGTTTTATTATTTCTCCAGTGAAATTCAGCATACATTAAAAGAAAAAAAGAAATCATCCAGCTATTCATTGTCACCTCCTTTTTAAATCCGAGGATCAAAGGTATAGAACAATCAAGACTATCCACTGTTTTGTGTGCTAAATTCATAATCCCTAAAATCCAATTTCTCCCTATACTTCAACAAAGAAAATACTACATGAGCTAAGTCACAATTACCATTAATTTGCAGCTGTGAGTACACAGCATTTCCGCACCCTGGAACATCAAGAGGAAAGCTGGACATCAAGAGGAAAGAAGAAGAAAGGCACAGGGGAGGACACAAGTAATGTACATGAGTGCAAAAACTGGCTTAAGTGGTTTGCTCATCTTGTTTCCATCACTCCTACACAATCCACCCTTACCCTCAAACTTCTTTCTTCCACCTCCCATCTCTACCTCCTGGATCCTACCTCTTTACTCTTGTATATCCACGCTTCACAGTTTTCTCTCCTATCCACCTCTTCTAGCATCTTTACGCCTCCACTGCAGCTCCTTCCAACTCCTGTAACCCCTTCTCTATAGTCCCCCCTATTCCAGGCATACTGATTCTGCTTTTTCCTCTATGCAGCCCAAGTGCTTAGGAAAATCCTAAGAGCCCAGCAGAGACCTCCTGCTCACCAAGGCATATGAAAGTGGTGCGAGGACAGCTGGGAGGCAGGGTAGGAGCCCCAGTGAAGCATGGCGCGAGGAGCTCTGTGAGCATGCACCACGGGCAGGGCAGCTCAATCCCCAGAGAATTCAGAGCCACAGCAGCAAACAACCAAATCTCTACTGCGCAAGTGAAAACACTAGGCAAAAACTTACAAGCGGGCTGAATTTTTACTAGGCCAACAACAAATCCCACAGACCCTGCCATCATGCAACTGATCTGTCAAATGTCAGGTCTGTACTACAAAGTCTAGAAGCATTATTGTTTTTCAATGTCACACTTGCAGGAAACGTTTAACACTGCAAAACAAAACATTTTTCCATGATTTCTGAGCATGACATTTTTTAGCTTAAGTCATCATAAGCTCCCAATTTTAGGCAGGTATAGAGCAGACAGAATTTCAGCTTAAATCGCTATATTCTCATGCACTTAAAAGCAACCAAAATCTTTTTTTTTTTTTTTTTTTTTTTTTTTTTTCCAATAGAAAGCAAGCGGCAACCTCAGCTCTAGGTTTCACCTAGAACCACTCAGGTTCCACTCATAGGCTCCGCCTATAACATGCAGTTGCTGATACAAAGAAAGGACTTGTTTCAAGGACCAGAGTTAAGGATGAACTAATTTTATGATATCGTACCTTCTCAGCTCTTGACTTCTCAGCCGTAATACGACTACTGGAGGTACCCTTCGGTGTCAAAGGGGAGCCGCATGCTGCATTCGCAGTACTGCTGTGCCCCCTAGAGCCCTAAGTAGTACCCTGAACAACTAAGAACTCCCTTAGCTTGCTAGGTACATAACACAGCCTATAGATGTTTCAGACTGGTTTAATGTACTGTAAAGCCAAGAGCCCTAGATAAAGTATTTTCAGTGAAATTTACTTTCCATTATGTCCTTCGGAGGCCCTTCAGCTGGCAGCTTAGTGTAAAAGCTGTCGGACTATTTATAGCAGACATTTTAATCGCACTTAGGTATTTATAAAACATCCTGTCTAGTGAAGGCTTCCATGGTCTGCTTTCATTCACTTCTGCTGATAATGAAGGGTATATAATATCTGAGGCGTTGAGGTGGATCAGCAAACCAGGCACTGTTTGTTAGATACGGATTCCACATATTCTAAAAGAATGCAGCCAAGCTATATTGCAAACATTTAAGAAACAGAGGTAATGATGCAGACTTTCAGTAGCATAACCTTGAGGGTCCATTTACGTCCACTGAGAACCTTACCTCTTGTTACACAATCTCCAGAGGAATACATTAATAGAAAAAGACATTTTTACGCAGTCCACAAAACATACCTCCGTAATTGCCAGCAACTCACAAAATAATGCTGTACTCCAAAATTTTAGCACAGTGTCAAAGCACTGATGCTGAGTTAGGCTCTTTATCAGGGCTTAATTTATTAATGAATGCACATACAATTAATTGAACGACACAAACACGACAGAGTCAAACATGTCTAAAAAGATAAGAGAAACAACAGTTAAAAACAAGCCGTAAAACGTTCGGTAAGGAGAGGCTTTGGATGTGTTTATTCAGCGTCAGTAAAAGCAAATGACTTCCTCACCGCAAACTGAATCAAAAGGAAAGGGTAACTTTTCCATTATTTAATTCTTTGTGACTTCTTTAAAAGGTATCCATACTATTTGTTTAGCATTAAATTGTGAACATTACATGCCCCTACTCTTATGACTATTCTGCACTAACGGCACTTAATTTTTTTGTTCTGTTACTGTTCAATATTTCTTGGGGTTCATTTGTTTATTTTTGTTTGAGGCATCAGTGTCCACAGAGAAAAATATACCCTTTGCAGTCAAGTCTTGAGTTGTATTCTCAACTTAAAGAAAAGCTAATGTATTGTTGTGTAACAAACAGCAAAGTTCTTACCATACAGAGATGTTATCTGATAGACACAGTACAACATTTTATTCACTGTTTCTGTATTTGATACCTTATCCTTTTCCAGTTGGTAAAGTTCTTTCACAAAAGGAAAGAATGGGGGGGGAAGAAGAAAACTTAAACATAAATTTTTGGAGAGTTTTATTTTCAGGAATTACACCCAAATTATTTCCCTGTTCTGTTTCGCGATGACTTAAATTTGACCATCCAGCATGAGCTGCTGAGAAGCTTTTTCCCATACAAACCACAATCAGAGTTTATGGCAATTTCAACTTAACCACACAAAATCATTTATTTCTCTACTCATTTCAGAAAGTACAAAGGCTCCTTTTCTTTTCAGGGAGTATATCTCAAGTTGTTGACAGAATATTGCCATTCAGTCACTATTACCAAATTACTTCCCTATGTGGAGCATGACTACCAAATAAAAATAGTCAGCTATGCAGAGAGTGATGACTCTGAGTCGGGTACTACCCCTCACTACCAGCAGTATTTGATCAGTGATAAACACCAAAGGGTCTTGATAAAAGGCTGTCACTGATATTGCATAATCAAAACGCGTACAAAGTAATCCTAACGTAGTTGTGGACAAGGTAAATTATTGTGGAACACATTTCTAACTTTTTTAAAAATATCAGTAAAGATCAAGTCCTTTTGTAATGAAGTTTGCAAAGAAATTTGGGAACCTTTCTTTTTAATGCCACATGTAAAGTTCTGTTGCCCTTGACCTCCAATGAAAATGTGGTTTAGGGGAAGTGAAATAGCATTTATCAAAGATAACTCATTTGGTCAATGGGCCATGCCCTGAAGCACGGCGAGTGCCTTCTCCCTTCTCTCAGGCAGGCCTGATTTTCACACCTGTGGCTGGGAGCAGCCATCCCTGGGCTGGCTCGGCAGCAGCCTCCAGCTCAGTTCTGCAGCGGCAGCTCAAAGTCTCTCTTTGAAATTATCATCCCATCAGTGTCCTAAACTGAAACCAACTCTCTTCCTGTGGCTTTATGTCTCATTTTAAATCGGCAGCTTTTATTTTCTCCTTTACCTGTCTTTTACGCCCTCCTCAGCAGCTCACAAGGCCCAGCAGCACAAAGTCCCACGCAGGCGGGTGTCCTCCTCTCTTTATAGGCCAAATGAGAGTTTTCAGGGAGCTCTGGGGCAGACTCCGCATCGCAGCCCTGCCAAGACAAGCGACTTGCTGACACGCTTGACACGTTGCCAAGCCCTATCCCACACTGGGATAAAACATGGCCGGCACACCTGCAGCAAGCGCTTGCTGTTTACCTAGCCATTAACCCACTTTCCCAGAAGCATTCCTCCTCGCGCAGCATTTCCTGCCTAGAAACGCCAAACCGAGGCTTAGCATCATGTAACGGTTAAGCGTTTTGAGCACGAATCCACATCCCTAAGGCGAAAACTTCGCCGAGCCCCGTACCACCTGGGGACAGCGGTGGAGCAGACGGCCCCGGCACCCGCGCCCGGCCGCCTACCTCGGGCGGCCCTTGCCGTGCGGCGCCTCCGGCG